GTGAGGGTGCCCAGCGCCCTCAGGGGAGATCCCGCCGTGAGGAGTGAGGGTGCTCCGCGCCATCAGGGGAGATCCCGCCGTGAGGAGTGAGGGTGCCCAGCGCCCTCAGGGGAGATCCCGCCGCTCTCCTGTGTCAGCAGGGTGCCTTGAGCTCCCTTTCTCCCTTGGGAAGGGAACCCCCGCCCGGCTGTGAGGGGGTTTTCCAGGGAAATCCCCTTCCTTCCCGTCTCCTGCGGCAACAGCGAGAATTTATTCTGATTTATTCCTAATTGCTCCTCCCCTCCCTTTTATTCAAGAGGAATGAGGGAAATGCTTTAAGGAAGATGTTCCTTTTCACATAATTTGGAGAAAAATGGGTTTGAATTCTTTAAGGAGTCTTTTTTTTTTCCTGATGTGTACGGGACCTTGACAGAGTGTGAGAAAAATGGGATTTGGGAAATGCAGGTAAAAAATGGGGTTTGGGGTATGCAGGGAAAAAATGGGGTTTGGGATATGCAGGGAAAAAATGGGGTTTGGGGTATGCAGGGAAAAAATGGGGTTTGGGGTATGCAGGGAAAAAATGGGGTTTGGGATGTCCACGGAAAAATGGCGTTTGGGATGTCCATGGAAAAATGGGATTGGGAATTCCTCTCCTGCACGCTGTGGGAGAATCCTTTTGTAGCTGCTCCTATCACAGAGTTTTAAAGGGTCGGAATGGTGAAAAGTGCCAATCACTTGGTTTTTAACATTTTAAAAGTTTAATAATAATGGTTGCAAAAATAATAATGCAGTTAGAGTAAAAAAGTTTAGAGTTAGGACAATTACAAGACAATAAAAAGCAAAGAATTACAGACGTCCAGATGCTCTCGGACACTAAATCACAAAAAGCATCCCTTGTGAATTAAAGAATAACCTTAAAAGTGATAGCCTGTTGCATATTCATATATCCTTCATGGTTATGCATACATTGTATTTAAAACAAGAACTCTGTCTATTGTATGTCAACTGTTTCCTTTCATCCCCATGGCGTCTTCGAGTTTGAGCAAGGCCTAAAGAAATTAGTTTATTCTGATAAGAAAACCATCAATTCCTTTTCTTTGGAAGATTTAGGGGTTCCTCGAAGCGAGTATCTCATTCCAAAAAAACCCCAAAAAACTCCCCCCCCATACAATCTTTATTTTAACATTATGTTGGAACCTAAAACTGTATTTAACACACTACATAAGACAATTAATACAGCATAACTTTCTAACATGACACATATAATATTCATTGTAATATCTGCGAAAAACCAATCATAAAATCTGCATTTTTCACCGAACAATCCTTAAGGATCACCCAGTGACTCCAGGCTGCTCCAGCCTGGCCTTGGACACTTGCAGGGATCCCAGGAGCAGCCACAGCTGCTCTGGGCAGCACTGGGATCATCTCCCCCCTCCTGGGCTTAAAATCCACCGCAGCACCAGCTGGGCCTTTATTCTGATTTTTAACCCCCTGTGCGAGGTGTGTGTTACTGTTTCTCTGAGGTGTGAAATTCGGGAGATCTTCCTAAGGTCGCACCCTGCAAGAAATTTAGGGGAAAAAAATACCCTGAAGTTCAGTTCATCTCATTTGTGTTGACCCCAAAATGTTTAGAACTGAAGAAGATTTGACAGCCCTGGATCAGCAGAGGTTTGCATTTTCTGTTGCCCTCAAGGATAGGAAATGACTTCTCTGAGCGTGCAGGTGATGTGGAAACCTCTTCTATCTGACCAAAGTGGCTTTTGCTACCCGAGCACAGAGTTTTCCTACCTCCAAACGCTGTGTTTGGACAGAAATTAATTCCTGGGCGTGAGCAGGGATCAACCTTTGCATCCCAGCTTGGCTTGGAGGGGTGAGAGATGCTCCTGCTTCTCCTCCAGCCGGATTTTTCCATGGAAATGAGAGTGAGGAGGGTGAGTGGAGCAATTCCTTGTTGTGAAACCTGGAACAATTTCCCAGGGGCTGGAGTGGTTGTTGTTAATTAGGCGAGAAAAGCAAAATAAGCATTGACGAGCTTGGGTTTTGCAAGCTCTGGGTGGCAGAAGGGTCTATCAGGCTTTGAAAAAGAAATGTTTTCATAGAAACGTGCTCTTGAAAAACCAACCTGGAGCTCCCTAATTAGCACACTGAAAAGCAGAGCCTAATTGAAGGTTTTTGGTGGTTTGGGATGGTCGAGCATTCCTGGGTGAGGCTGCTTTGTGCGGGAGAGGCCGAAGGAATTGGGATAAACCCAGAAAGGAATGATTGCAGATACATCTGGACACCCGAGGGGATGCACAGCACCTCGAGGTGCTGCTGCCTGAGGCTTCTTCAGAATCATGGACAAGTTGCACTGGGAGATCTCCTGCCCAGCTTCAAATTCAGGTCAGCTTGGCACAGCCTGGGTGAGCTCTAAAAACCTCCAAGGACAGGGATTTTTTGGTCACACTCACTGGGGGGCAATTTTCCTTGGATTTACTGGAAATTTTCCATGCTGCAGCTTGTGCATGCTTCTGGTTTGATCGACTTTTTAGATCGTCTAGACAGCACTTAAATCCCTTTTTGCCTTCCCTAGATCCCCTTTTACCTTCCTTAAATCCCTTTTTTCCCCTTGCCTGGATCCCCTTTTTGTTTTTCTTCCTTGCCTGGATCCCCTTTTTATTTTCCCCTTGCCAGGATCCCTTTTTTCCCTTCCCTAAATCCTTTTTCTCCCTTGCCTGGATCCCCTTTTATTTTCCCTTGCCTGGATCCCGTTTTCCCCCTTTCCTTCAATCCCCTTTTTATTTTCCCTCGCCTGGATCCCTTTTTTTCCCTTCCCTAAATTCTTCTTCCCTCACCTGGATCCCTTTTTTCCTTCCCTAAATTCTTCTTCCCTCTCCTGGATCCCTTTTTTCCTTCCCTAAATCCTTTTTCCCTCGCCTGGATCCCTTTTTTTCCCCTCCCTAAATCCTTTTTCTCCCGTGCCTGGATCCCCTTTTTTTATTTTCCCTCACCTGGGTCCCTTTTTCCCCTCCCTAAATCCTTTTTCCCTCACCTGGACCCCTTTTTCCCCTCCCTAAATCCTTTTTCCCTCACCTGGCTCCCTTTTTCCCTTCCCCAAATCCTTTTCCCCTCACCTGGATCCCTTTTCCCCCTCCCTAAATCCTTTTCCCCTCACCTGGCT